TCTCCTGTACTCTGAGCTCAGATTCACCTTTTGAAATCTTAATTAGCATATCACATATGTTACAATGAGTGAGGTGATATTAGGATTCTATTTTTAACTAAATTCCTTGGATTTACTCAGCTTGTATCATTTTTATGATTCAGAATTCAATCTGAGATACCATGTTATAATTAGTCATTGATTGCCTTAAACTTCTCTGAGCTGTGACCATTTTTTTACATTCTGTTGGATTCTTGGTGACTTTGAGGGTTTTGACGGACTCTAGTCAAGTATCTTGTAGGACAGTTTTTTGCTGGAAGTTACCTAATTTTGTCACCATTAGATTTATGAGTTATTGAGAAGACCACAGAGATAAAGTGCCACTTCTATGATGTTATTCTGTTATCATCAACATGATTAAGCACTGTCAGTGCTGCCCTTCTTCAGCTGGCTAGTGCCTAATAGCCTTCTCCTCTGTAAAACAGCTTTTTATCCTCCTTTCTGTACTATGCTCTTTAGAAGGAAATCACTGGGCTTTTAATTTTTTCATAAATAAATTACTTAAAGAAAGGTTTGCCTTTGAGTAAGTCATATTGAGATACTTCCCAAGACATCTACTTCTAATGTAGACATTCCCTCTTTTTAGATACAGAATGTCTCTCTGGAACAAGCTGGACACTTTTTATCACTTCTCAGATTTCAGGTTCAAAATACAAAGCACAAAAAAAGCTGAGTAATTTAATACAGAATTCCAAAATGAATTGGGAAGCAGTTATTCCCCAATCAATTGTGGTTTCTTCTGACTTTCAGCTTTTGATTCTGATGCTTCAGAAGCAAATTTAACCCAAAACATGCTAGGTCATTTTTAATCATGAAGGCAGTTATTGGTAAAATCCAATAATTTGGAGTATGTTCTTTTTTAGACCATGGAAGGTTGTAGTCTTTGCTACATCTTTGCAAAATTCCATGTAAACCCATCTTTCACTGCAATTGCCTAACTTCTCACTACTCATAATCCCAAGAGCAGAAAACAACACAACTTCATGAGTAAGTCTAGCTATCGCCTCCCCCATATTCCCCTTACTCTGGTTTCATGTCCTGACTCCAAGGGCTCTGTTAGCAGGGATGTCTTTACACTAACTACAATTGCTTAGTTCCCTACCTACTTAGGTCAGAACAGAGCTCCTCCCCACTGCGGACTCCAGATCTCCTCTCTGTCAGTCTGGGACAAGAGGTGAAACTTTTCCACCTTCCCCAGTGCACAGAAATCTAGTGAGAGAAACATTTTACCTATTGATCAAAGGGTAGTGACATTTAAAAAATAGCAACTAAAAGTATTAAGACCTGTGGCAGTAATAAAACCCAAAATGTGTAACTGTTATTGTAAAAAACAGAGGGGAAAAAAAAGTGCTCTAAAGGATATAACCACAAGTATATTTAAGAGTATAAGATAGATAACCATATTTTTTTTTGTTTTTGTTGGATCATTGAACAGAACTCTTGCAGTCTCACTGTTTGAATGTCCACTTTGTATGCTTTTGTAACTTGAACAACTATTTGTAAGATGAGAATGTGTAATCTATTAACTAGTGATTTCTTACTGTTTATTTTTTGAAACTCTGTATTACTTGGACCCTTTTCCTGTTTTTCTTTCTTTTTCCTTTTAAATAAAATTTTAAAAAATAGCAACTAGGGGCTTGGAGATTTAGCTCAGTGGCACAAGAGATAATAAAGTGGACTCATGAGAAAGGAGAAATACATTACCTAAGTAAATCTAGAACCTAAAAATAATGCATATTCTAACAATAAACTGTAACAGGTGGCCTACCAATAATAACCAACTCTGTCTTCTCACCTTTGCATATAAGAAACAAGTAATAAACAACATTTAAACTCACTTCTCATCAATAAGAGAAAAATGAAACAAAGAAAGGGGGAAAATGCTTTAGTGGAATGACAGACTCCATGAGATTAAATTGTGATGTGATAACAAGAGAAATTTCCATGTATCAGAGATGGCTACTTCAAGGGGTGAGAAATGAAAGACTGTTCAAACTCAAGAAAAAAAATGTTTAAATTCTAACAGTAGGTTAGCAGTATGGTTGTATATGTAAAATGATCAGATTTTGAATCATTGTAAATGTGGGTATTTGTGATGAAGCTCTTATCACACATCGTCCTTTAGTCTAATACATATTGTATGCTTTTCAGGTGTTATCTCTTTGATTGATTGATTGATTGATTGATTGATTGATTTACTTTCAGCAGCTTAAAATAATGAACACTAATTATCTCACAGTTTCTATAGCTCAGGAATCTGGACACAGTTTAACTTGGTGCCTGTGGTTTCAGGTCTCTCACAAGGCCATAATCAATGTCCACCAGAACTGCCTAAGCAAGAAACTATCTTTAAAAAGAAAACAATGGGCTGGAGATTAGTTAGTATACCTTAGACACTACAGTATGGAGCAGGAAAGTCAATGATACATCCAAATGGACTATATTATCTATAAAGTTTAAAGGAGTACTAAGGATATTTTAAACATTTATCAGGACACAGATAATTCTAAAAGAGTGTGTCCATAGGAAAAGTAGAGGCACAGATTTTCTCTAGATGATTGATATCCAACATCATTTCAACTTGCCTTTAGGATGCAGTGTGTAACGTGAGCTAAACTCATCTCCTCTGTATCCCACAACAGCCTCTCCTCATTGATAACCAGGAGGCCTCCCTCACTCATGGGTTAAAGACTAGAGCGTGGGGTGTAGTTCAGCAGTATGGTGCCTTCCTGGCAAGGGTGAGTTCATGAGTTCCACTCCTGGTACCAAAAAAAAAAAGACTAGAAGCTAGATACCCCCTACTTCTGGGTATAGGATAGCTATCCTGCTCTTTAGTTTTACTATGCTCCCTATTTTTCTTCTTCTGTTCCCTGGCTCCTTGACCACCTGCCTCCAAGCTCCTTCCCACCTCTAATTTTTGCAAAAGTTGTCCTCTGCATGGTGGCCAATCTCCCAGATGTCTATTCACTTTACGTGTTTGGAACTTAACCATTCTTGCATGTCATCTCCAATATCTCTTCCTGACACACACGCTTATGCTAGATCGGGTTTCCCAAATCCCCTTATACACTGCATTTTCTCCCAGAACCCTTACATAATTGACAATCATATACTTGAATATATTATCTGATTATTATCTTTGTCCTCACCTGGCCCACACTTCCTAAGGGGAAGGACTGCATCTATCTGAGCTCACCTTTATCCAGTGCAGTCTGGCACTGGATACCTAGTTAATGGACTCCACATTCTCTGTCATTCACCTCGAACTACCCTAAACACTGATCATTTGCAGAAAGCAAGTGTGAGTGCCCAGGCAGCAAACTTTCAAAACTTTCCATAGAAAATCTCATGCCAGGATAATCTCAGTCACTGAAATGATCATGGTTGAAATGTTTATTATACCCCTTCCAAATGTCATGCTGCAATCTAATCTGCAAAGCAATATATTAAGAGGTGGAGCCTTTAGGAAGTGATTCAGCAATTAGGGTTTCTCCTCCCTTTAGACAGGCTTTAGGCTGTTATAAAGAGGATTGCACACAGCATCCCACAATTTTAGACCTTCCACCTGTGGTGGAAATTCCCTGTAAGGACACAGTCTTCAAGTTGCCATTTTAGAAGCAGAGACAGGGCCTTCACCTGATATCGAGCCTACTGGTGCTGATCTTGGCCTTCTCAACCATAGGCTGTGAGAAATAAATTTATTTGTAAGTTACATGTTTCCAGGGTTTTGTTGTAACAGCACAAATGGATCAGCACACTCCTGTCACTTATTTCTCCCTACACTTAATAACCCTGTTCATCTTTGCTCCTTTACTGCAGTCAGAACTGGTAAAAAAAAAAAAAAATGCAGGTCACATCTAGAAGGATGCATGGGATGCCTCATACACTGTATTTGTACTTAGAGCTGAGCTTTTACACCAAAGGTATATACAACAGGATCAGCAAGGAAAAGCAACACAGGAGAGATCCATGTGGAGGCTTCTGATGTTCCCGTGAGCAATCACACCAAGTATGCTCCTTTCTCTGCCAACGAAAAACACACCATTGCCATGTGACACGGTAAACAATCCACACATCACCTAGCACTTTATTAATTAATACCTCAGCACTGACAGTCAGTAGGTTAGGGGTACTGACTGCACTTTTTTCAACTTACCATACTTTCAATTTACTATGCACTTATTGGGAAATAACTCCCTTGCAAGCCAAAGAGAATCTGTGTGTGTCATGTTTTTGCCCATGAAATGCCCATTAGACACTCAGTGACCAAACCACCTTGTCCTAGAGCTTGTGAAGTGGGTGCTAGCCACACTTTGTCTGGAAATCTATAAAACTTATAAAATTTATAAATTTGTAAAATTTCAGACTATCAAATGGTATCTTTTCATCATAAATTGCATAGTTTGTAGAGTCTAACCATACTGAAATATTCTAACCTTTTGGGGAATGAAATGAAGAATTTCAAAAGCCAAATTCTCAGATACCAGTCAAGGACCAAAATAACTAAGTAGACCTTTCTGAAGATAACAGCTTGAGGACTGCTATATTAACTTTTCTTCATGCCATTCTTTAATTTTTCTGCCAGAATATGTATGTATTGTTGGAAATAGAGAAGTTCATGGTCATCCCATTTGTATATAAACATGGATAAAGAAAATATGGTTAGAATTCATTTTAGGTAGTTTTATCACTGGAATTATTGCTAGCAATTATCATTTTAGATAGATGCAATTAATAGTACAATTTCTGTAAATTACAGCAATTATCATTAATAGTCTGAACTCTTTTCTGTGATTAATATATTGTGTATTTTTCTGTGTAGTATTCATATTAATAATATATTCAATGATCTTTAACATTCTTGCACCGATTTTAGTATGCTAAGGTCATGAAAATGTTAGAAAATTTTGTGTTTGGATTCTTATTTTATTTTTCTTCTATTCTATTACTTTTCTTAACAGGGTAGATTTGCCACAACTTGAAGAAGCTTGCAAGCATGGATTTCAAGCATGTGAAAGAATATTTCTGTTGGCTCTACTATCAATACCAAATCATTACATGCTGTGCTGTCTTGGAGCCCTGGGAGCAATCCATGTTCAACACTGTCTTACTGACCATCCTTGCTATGGTAGTGTACACTGCCTATGTCTTTGTCCCTATCCACATTCGCCTGGCTTGGGAATTTTTCTCAAAACTTTGTGGATAACACAGTACAATTTCCAATTGATCTGATTTGCACTCTTTGCAGTGGTATTACATATTTATGTTGCTTGTAACTCATTGATTTAGGTGACTACTAGGTCAGCTTTCACTCTCTGGCCAGAAAAGCATTCTTCTCTGTGCACTCTTACATACTGCCTGAGTTTCAGACAGATATTTCTCTAATTTCTTTTGTACATGCTGCGTAGAAAATACAATGACTTGACCTCATATACCACGTTCACTCAATCAGAATTTATCACTTTACTTTTTTTTAATTAGGCTGGCTTTTTACCAATTTTTCCTGAAAAATAATCTGATAAGAGACCCTACCAGAATTGTATTAAAATGCTCCCTTAATATATATTCTATACTGAAGTATATACTACAAAAAAAAATCCTTTATACGCTACTGTCAAAAGTATCCTATCTTTGTTTACAATATAGAAAAAGATGTGAATAAGTTATGTTGACCCATTAAAGTTTTATTTTCTAGTAAACTGATAATACCTAAAATGCTCTTATTTCTTTTAATTAAATTTACTTAAAATTCTCCAACCTGAATGCAAAAGAGCAGGCTGGGGGAAATTATTTTCTTTCCAACATGGGTCATAAGTTGTTTTAAATTTTGAAATCAACAATGGTAATTTTAGATAAACAAGTAAGTGTCATAATGCATACTAAGAAACTAAATATAATCAAAGTAAATTCAGATATTGTGACTTTTGATGTTGCTTTGCCTTTGCATGATACTGGGGGGTAGAGAGGGAAAAACTTGTTTCCTTTCTATGATTTCACTCAGTGGAGGAAAAAAAGCATGTACTGAGTACAGGAAGAAAAGCTAATAAGTAGGCTGGAAGTAATAGTCTACCAGCAGGAACTCAGCAGCTCTAGTTAAATGCTTTGATACAGTGGCTCCTTTGCAGAGCAGAAACAAAATTTATTGCATTTCTTTCAAAATGGTTATTTTAAAAGCAAATATAAGTTTTAATTATACTGCTGAATCAAATGTGAATGCCAAAGACCAAGCCTTGCAGCTTTTATTTCCTCTTAATAAATACTAATGTTAGTAATTCTGGAAGATAGTAATATACATTGGGTTTGGACAATATTTGTGCCTTTGTTTTTTTAGGGAAAAAAATCCAAGGAGAGCTAGAAAGAAAAATGTTTGGCATGCCAAATTAACTTGCATGTTTGTTAAATAGCAAACAAACACATGTTTTGAAGAGAAATCAAGTCTGAATATGTTTTTGTTGACTTTTGCAAAATAAAATTAAGTTTAATTTTATAAATAAAATATTCACTTCAGATTTGTTCTTTCCTCATATTATACTACTTATCTAGGTGAGTCGTATCTCTTCAACTTATTTATTATTAATCTAATGTAGTAATGGATCTTAAAGTGGTAGAATAAAGCGAACATTTACCAAGGAACTTCTGCATGCAGACATATTCCCCATGTTGAAGAAGATTTTAAGGTCTGCCACTTACAAGTAAGGACCCTAGAACTTAGACAAAGGTTGCATTTCTTCTTCGTGGCCCATCAGCTACTAACAGCAGAGTAAGGATGTAAATCCCCAGGGTAAGACCATACTGAGACAGGCAAATATTTGCCGCACGGAAGCCCATGAGAAGACAACATGAAAGGCGGCAGGAAACAAGTCACCAATACATTAGAAAACAAAGTCCCTTCAAGTAAGAAGGCTTGAGCTTGAAAAGATGGCCGAGGTGGAAAGGACTACAAACCCAAACCCCAGTTGCCACCTTTGCTGCTATAGCTAGGGTGCTGTTGACCCATTTCTATGCCTCCTAAACCTACTTTGAAAGCTTGCTGCCACTTTGAAGTATTTAACAGAGGAGTCTCAGTGAAGCATGAACTTTAATGCATTCTCAGTTCACAATGATTCAACATCCTTAAGCACCTGGACCCTTGAGAAGTACCCTTGGAATATAATTACTTAGACACTTCCTGACCTCAAAATGCTCCTTCTAAAAATAAACATGAGTAGATACAATAAAACTTAATAGAGGATTACCACAAGGCACAGTTTAAAGATAATTACTTCTGAATAATCAAAAATAATAAAGAGTAAAAAAAATATAGTTTGAAAAAACCTAGCGCTGTGGACCAGGAAAGAAAACTCTCCGTTCTGTTGATTTTCTCAACTTGGCAGAGATACTCTGTGTTGACCAGAGATCTCCTCGGTTAGAAACACTATTTAAGTACTTTTCCTTTGCTTGTATTAGTTGGATATTTCAATGATGTGTATCCAACCTTAAAAACAAGAAAAGCCAAAAATTCCTTGGTGTCAGTGAACTTCAGCCACTCCCTGAACTGGGAGTCATAAAATATTTTTCCCTGGTGTTGGTAAAAACTATTCCTTCTGTACACTTGTGCACCTAAACAGCAAAAACAAAACAAAAATGCCAAAAAAAATGCAGCAGGCATAACATAATGATATTATGGATCTTGACTGATACGTCTTGATTACTTGTGGAAACAAAAAGATTAGTCCACATTTTCTACTTTTTCCATCATTAATATATTCAGGTCCTGTCACCAGTGTGCCCCTGAAAGGCATGGATTTGATTTTATTTGTGAATCCAAGTGTCAAGCCCAGGAGTTGACACATGGAGCAACCACACTCACACACACACACACACACACACACACACACACACGACATGCTCACTTCCTGGTTGGCATAGTCCCTGCAACTAGGAAGGCAACAGTAGAGAAGGACACCGTGTCACTGAGATCAGGTGAATCCTTGCTTGGATTGCCCAGACACCCAGAGAAAGGGATAGGGGTGTTGGAGAGGGGGCATTTGAGGGTGAGGGAGGGGAAGGAAGAGAAAAGAGGGAAGAAAAAGTGAAGGGAAAAGGGAGAAATGTTTCCCTTTTTTTCTAAGCTTAACTGTGATGGTCTCACAAATGTAAAAAAGCAAAATACCAGCAAATTTTAAAATCTAATTGGCTTTTAGTAGTGATTCTAGAATTAAGTAACAGCTCATTCTACAAAGAATACCTGTTCCAGTGACTGAGCAGAAAGGACAGGGTTTATAGGCAGAAAAGGTCTGAATAAAGCAGAAATAAGAATGAAAAGAGACTGATGTTTGAAAGTTGCTTTTTTTATGGGGTCAAGGCAGAAGGAACTTTTTATCATGGCAGCTAGGTAAATGGGGCCCCATCTGACCAGTTGCTACTGTTCTTCTAATTTGGTTTTAGTTTTTTAAACCAATCATTCCTAATACAATATGATCGTGTTGCACCTAGCATGAGTGACTCCATTCCTTTCTAGGTTGGTCTGTCGGGGATTAAAGCAGGAGTTTAGTGTAAAACAGTGGCCTCCCATTAACTTTATTTAACACAAGTGAATTACAGATTTTTTCTGATCTTATTATCAATGAATTTCCTTTACCTCACGAATTATATCTAAATGTTTTACATTTACTTTGTCTTCTTACATACTTCGGCTTCTTTTGCTTAAAATAATTTACTTTGTCTCAAAGGGAAAATAAAACTTCTCAACAAGGAGCCCATCCTCCAGGGAACAAGTGTCTTCCTTTCTCTAAAGCCTGTCTGGAGGTTTCCTCTGCCTCACTCCTCTCCTGGCCACGTCATCACCATTCCTACATGTTTAACAGCTTCATCTGGAAAATGGCGAAGGGGCAGTAAGTCACCCCAAAGTTTCTTCCACTTTAAAACAAAATCTGTACTCTATGAAATCTTAGTGACGATAGGCATTCCAGCTTTGTTTGGATTTGGCTGGTTATTGATGGGAAGCTGACCTTCTCTGAAATGCTGTAGTGTTTACAGTCTCAGTGACATCGTTGTTGAGAGGACAATAGTCGTAAATAATAACAAACAGCAGTAAGGACACAAAACCTCATAGAGTAATCAGTCCTTAATGTGCAAGTCAGGTGACAAACTCAAAAGGCTTGATTTCGATGGAAGCGGTCCCTGTCCATCTTCATTTCAGCAATCCATGTCTTCCCCTTCCTCTCATTCTGTCACCTCAGGTCTTGTAACCCTTTGATGGCCCTCATCCTGTCTACTCATGTGTTCAGCCTCCAGGAGAGGTTACTGCCCCTCTATAGCCCTTTTCTTTTTTCTTTTTTTTTTTTTTGCACCGGATGGAAAGGAACATGGAGAAATGGTTCGTGTCCAGGTTTAGCCAATAGGTGAAGCTCAGCTGTCAAATCAGATCTTCTACTGTCTGTTTCTCTCACCTTACTGCAAAGGCAGTAGTCAACCCTGAGCTACATTTAACTGAGCCAGAGAAGAAGGGGAGGAAAAGGGGAATTCATGGCTCACAGGTGCACACTCTGTGCCTCTTGTGTCAGCTGCCACAGCTGGGCAGGGCCCAGGAGGACACAGGCCATGTTTTGTTTGCACCAAGCATTCTCACTAAAGTTCGTGAAGTAGTAGAACGATGAATTAATGAAGTGCTTTTTATGCTTTCAGGTTAGCAACACTGAAGTATATGCCAGACTGATTTGTCACTAGAATTTGTACTGAGCCATTCACTGATATGTGAGCTATGAAGCATCTCAAATAGTAGAGAAGGTTTTGAGAGACTATCATTCCTGCTTGCATTTTTTCCTGCTTCTTCTACCTTTAGTCTCATACCTAACTTTAACATTTTCAAATAAAAAGAAATTTTTAAAAACCTGATGCATTCGTAAAGATCTGTGACTAGGTAGCTCCTCAAACACTGGACCATTGGTTTTCAGCTCTGACTGTACATTAGAATCACCTGGAAACTTTAAAAACCATTAATGCTTGATCTCATACAGAAAAATTAAGTGAACTCTTGGGGAAGGGGATCTCAGCATGAAAAGCTGTGCAGGTGATTCTAGTATTTGGCCAAGATTGAAAACTACTTCCCCCAACTTTTTGTGAATATCGATTAAGTAACTGAGATGCAACATGGATCCTCTTCTTGGTCTCTCCCTCTCAATGGGTCCTCTGACCAAACAAATCTATGATAAGGTCAAGGCACCACTGTTTCTCGAGACACAGTCTTAATCATTACAAACACCACATCCCTAGTATTCTTTGGTAAAATTCCCATGAGAACTTGAAGTTCTAAATAGTTAAGTTCACACTTCCTGCTGAATTTTGTTCCACATAATGTCATCAATCATTTCACCACGCATCATTTAAGGGCAGTGAAATATCACTGTTTATGCTTACAGGCATGAAGCAATAAAATACACTCAGTCTGATGCTGCCAAGCTCGGTAAAGACTTTTTATTTGCAACTTGAGTACAAGATCATGTCACAATAATTTGGTTAAGCCAGATGGAGTGCACCATCAGTGCAGCTGCAGAGCATATAAAGCTGTATGTATTTCACAGAGATGCCCTGGGCACCTCATACATGACTGACTGTGCCATGCTTCTTTTTGTGTTTAATCTTGCAGCTATATATCTTTAGTGTACCATATCTTTTATGTATATATGCACAAATATATATATATATATATATATATATAACTTGACATATATATTCACGATTTTTAATCATCTAAAACTATAGCAATATAATTTGTGGCAGAAACCATCCTAATTAGAAACTAAGATAATCAAATGATGCCAATGAGCAAGATAACCACAAATTGAAGAGTGAAGTAACCCAACCTCCACTTCTTGCTCTGGCTAACTATGTGTGGCACTGACAAGTCATCAAACTTCTTTGGCCTTCACCTTTTCTACTGTGAATTGAAAGATTAACTTGGGGATGAATATGTGTTTTATCACTCATCAGCTCTTCAATTACTGACAAAGCCCCCTTAAGGGTCATGTTTTGAAGATTTCTGGGGCTATGTCTGCTTGTGAGAGAAATTACCATCATCAACATATTGATGTTTATCATAAAGTCAGGAGAAAGGAAGCAGAATTTAAGTTCTGCTGGACCAAAGACCATAGAATTCATTTTAATCCCCTTTTCAGTGGCTGAAAATCAATAAAAACAAAATGAAAATATCTATTTATAACACCTTAACTAATCTTCATAGTGATATAAAAATGTGGGCATGCTTACTGTCACCTTGCGTCTATCTTCCTAATTAAACTTATTCTCCTCCAACTCAATATTAAATTCTGTATCTCCTATGAGGCCAACCACATACCATAAGAATAAATAGTAATATTTTGTGGCACATACTATATATCAGACTGTTCTAAACATTTTGCCTATGTAACATATATAATCCACAAAACATTTTTGTCAGGTAGATACCATTATTATCTCCTTTTTACAATGGGGAAAGCCAAGGCACAGAGCATTTAC